GAATGCCAGGCTTCCAGGAATTCCCTAGCATTTTTGGATTTAGCTTGGTCTAGGACACTCAGTTTCCCAGTTTAAACTATGGTTGACTCTGTCCATGTTTTGTGAGATTAAGGAGTTTTCATCATGTCTTCTGACTGCTAGTTGGTGTTCATGGATGTGCTCTGCTAGTCTTCTGCCCGTCTGTCCTACATAGTGGCTGTTACAATGCTTATACTGTATGTTGTAGATGACTCCTGTTTTTTCTTCTTGGGCTACTGGATCTTTTGGCTTCCTTAAGATGTTTTGGAGGGCTTTAGTTGGTTTGTGTGCTACAGAGTTGCCATGCAGTTGTAATAGTCTATTGGTTGTTTCTGAGAAGTTTTTGATGTATGGTAGTGTCATCCTTTTATTTCTTTTTTAATCCATTCAATCATGTCCAGTTCTTGGAGACTGTCTGGACATTTTGCAATTTTCTTGGCAAAGTTTTTCAGAAGTGGTTTGCCCTTGCCTCCTTCCTAGGGCTGAGAGAAAGTGACTGGCCCAAGGTCACCCAGCTGGCTTTGTGTTTAAGGCAGGACTAGAATTCACAGTCTCTCAGTTTCTAGCCTGATGCCTTAATCACAACACCAGACTGGCTCTCCATCCTTTTCATAGCTTGTGTTGGTTGTGCTGTAATGGGTTGAGTGGTCAGGAACTTTTTGATAAAGTTGTGCAGGTATCCATTTTGTTGGAAGATGTATAGGTGGTCTGTTTCCTCTTTCTGGTGTTCTGGGTTGCAGCAGTGTGTTTGTACTCATCTGAATAATGTTCTTACACAGCTCCTCTTGTGGGAGGTGAGGTTGTTACTTTGGTAATGGAGCACTTGGTTAGTGTGAGTTGCTTTTCAATAGACACACTCAGTAGCACTGATGATGTTACCTACTTGGGTAATGAAACATCTGCAAGCAAATAATGAAGCTCAGAAAGCACCAAGGATTCCACATTTTCTGTTGAGTTGGAGATTTATATATGAAGTAAGCTAAATTCTGTAAACATCAATGCAGACTTTTTTTTTTAAGTTACATTCCTTTTTTAAAAGTTTGCAAGTGTTCTTTTTACTGGAAGCAATGATATTTGCAATAACAAGATCATTTTCTGTGGGGAACACTTACATTTTTGACAGATTGGGTGTGAAAGTATGTTACCAACTGGGAAGAGGAATAATCTGAAATGTCCTTGGCAGGGCTCCATTTGTACGAATTTCCCAGTAAAAGATAATTATGTTGGGTTGCCTTTAGTCAGGTTGAACCTTCTGATACCCCTTAGTCTGACCAGCTGGTAAGTTTCTGCCTTCCATAACAAACCATAACAAAATAGGAAAAAAGGCACTCTGGACATTCCTGTCCTGCTTTACTGGGACCTTCCCAGTCAGATTTGGAAAGATGGCTAAACCCACCCTTCTAGTCATTTGTCAGAACTTGTCTCCTCTACCAGCCCAGCCCAGTCCAGCCTACTCCACCCCACTTTAGGCACAGTGATTGGTGGATCACTGCCTGGGAAATCCACCAATTGTTGCACTTTAATTTCCCCTGCAGTAAACTACTAGGAGAGCACTACTCACTAACTTTGTGAATGAGACAGAGTTGACATCAGCTATATAGAGGGAGCAACTTTATGTTGGCATACTTCATGGTGCCTCATAGACTGGAAGACAGCATGCTAAATTGGGTATTTGAATAAGTCCTGTGCCATAGGTACCCTTTACCTATTCCCATACCATCTTACTGTTCTGATCAATAATGATGTATTAACTCACATTTAGTAGCCATTAGCTTTTCAAAAGACTGAGACCACAGCAGTACTTCTTCCAGACTTATTCTTTGAGAAGCAGGAGCAGGGAGAGAAAACACAAGGTTAGAGTAGCCAATAACAATATTTTTATAACTACCTTTTATAAAATCTGAGACTAAGGACATTGAAGATCTGTCCTCATGTTTTGCTGAGCATCCATAAATACTCCCTAAATTTGATTCCTAGTTATTTTCGGACCAAGCTAAGGGGAGAGGGAAAACAATGCTACCTTTAAAGGATACTTCTTAGGTCTCACAACATATCTGTATTTTCAGATAATTTAAATGATTCACCTAAAATAATTAAAACAGTTGTAATATTACCACATGTAGGGCTGCCTATCAAGAAAGCATAGACCAGCAGAAATCTGGATAAAAGCTAGATGGCTAGAAGCAGATAGAGAAAAGTTTAACTGTTTTGCTCTCCAGAGATGGAATCCCTAAGAAAGCAATTTTTATATCTGTGTGTGTCCTTGATGGAGCCTCCAGTTCCAGTATTAAGGCTGAGCATTATTTGCATTTTGTTTTGGAAGTTGCCTTGAAGATGTTTTTATTCTTAAAGGCATTCTGTCCATCTGTAAAATGAATGAATGAATGAACGAATGACATCATCAATCAACACTGGCACTAAAAATATCTTCAAGTGCCACTGCACTTACTGCAACATTAGGACCTATTTTACTTAGGCCTTCTTTGTTCAGAACTTGAAATTTTCCTATGTAGTTACAATTTTCCTTTGTAATGGAAATCTTACCCGATTTTTAAACTGTATATTTACTCATTCTTTCTCAACAGGTGCACTTGGAAATAACCAGTAAACAACCCAATCAACATGTACTTTAAAAATAGTTCCACCGAATTGATTGGGACCTACTCTTAGTTAAGTAGGATTGCAGACATTACATCAGAAATTACATTAGAAAGATACTACTGAAAGGAAGAGTAGTACAAAAATAACTAAATAGAACCATTATAATTAATATGTTATATTATGTTACAAAGTACTACGAAGTAATTTATTCTCGTAATTATTGAAAGGAATGGGTCATTTTGGATTTCTGCTGTTCATAACTGGGGAGTGAAGTAACTGAATGTCTGGCATTAAAGAAATTGAAGGGATTAGTTCTCGTAGACTGCCTTGTGCTGGGATTCAAACAGCAAATCAGAGGTATTTGTTTTCATCTGCTCCTTTGGCCTGATATCACCGATTCAAACAGCAAATCAGAGGTATTTGTTTTCATCTGCTCCTTTGGCCTGATATCACCGATTCAAACAGCAAATCAGAGGTATTTGTTTTCATCTGCTCCTTTGGCCTGATATCACCTCCCAAACACTCACCAAAGCAACTTCATTATTTTAAAGCTTAGCTATAATCCATTCTTGATTAAAAGTAAAATAGGCCTCTGGATGTTGAAACCAAATAAAAGATTCATAAACCTGCCTCATTATAGCCCAGCCCAGCTGTTTTGTAGGGTTTTATAGGCTTGTTAGTTTCTAATCGCCTTCATTATTTTCATTGGAATACATGAATAGATGTGTATGTATGTGTCTGTCTGTCTGTCTGTCTATGTGTTATGCTAGTAGCACCCCTGGGCCTGTAATCATTTGTTAACAATCAATGAGGCAATCTTTGATGACAATGTAATCTGGGTTATATTTGTTCAGCACCCAGAACTTCTATTTAGGACCAATCAAAATAGCATTAAAAGGTGTGCAAGCTTTCTAATTGTCCAGAATTCATCAGGCAAAACATTAACCAAAGGGAAAAAAGAATGGGGAAGAGAGTGTAAACTGTTAGGTCAAATGATTCAAGCCATGTGGTCTGTGGTCCAAAGTCCCAGGAACTCCTACATTTGTCATATGACAAAAAACCCACAACAAAACAAATGGCCTTTGTGTTTCATAGCTGGTGGGGGAATAATTACTTTCTTTATCCTTGAATGCCCAATATAGATTGATACTAATGAGAGTACATTTTTAAAATTCCACCTTAGACTGACTTAGAACTACAGACCACACTGAGCAGTGTCTGCAGGGCAGATGAGCAAAGAAAGCTTGACAGTCACAGCTGTACAATCAAAGCCCTGCCTCGTGTGTGTGTATGTGTGTGTGTGTGTGTGTGTGTGTCTAGTATAGATGGATCCCCATTTACCCAATGAAACTTTCCATCCCTATGTATCCAGTCTCTCCCCAAATCTGTTGTATTCCCAAACACTCCAGATCAGATTAAAGTGAAAGCATGGAGGGTTATGAATGGGACTGGGGAAGCAATACATGGAAGGATGCTGTTCTATCAGTGGACATACACAACTGAATTCAACTTGAATGTCAGCGGCCCTTTCATAACTGCTGAGCATGTCACTGAATTCTCTGAATGAGACAACAGATCCATGATAACAATGAGCTCAGCCTAATTTTATCCACTACTTTTTACCTGGCATCTCAGGCCTTACTCCAGAAGCTTGTAGGAAGTATATTCATCTGGTTTCATGTCTAAATGACAGAATTTCTATTTTGCTAATGGTTTGGGGTCAGAAAATATATAAACAATGAATTCATCAGGCTATGAGCTCTAAATCTGGTGGCTAAAGTAGGCCTATCTGACCAGGAGACTGGAGATTTCCCATGTTTGTCCATTTCTGGCTTGTCTTTTCTCAAAAAAGTTAAGGCTTTATACATGCTTGTGCATATACATCTTATTTTTATATTCTTCAGTGAAGGTTGGGTTAGGCTGAGAAAAAAATCAAGGTCATCAATGACCTTCATGGCTAAAAGATTTGGTCCTAACTCTCTTCTGTTCTAGATGTTTTAATCACCACATCATATTGGCTCTCTGCAAGGAAAGCTGTCTGTCCTATCAATGGCATTTGTGTTTAAAATATTTCCATTTAAAACAAAGGAACCATGTACCACTAAATCACACTCTGAATCTTGACTGGGTCCCCATATAGGATTTGGCCCAACATTTTCTCCTTCTCCTTCCATTGTTATTTGCTTCCAAAAGTTTTATATAAATATGGGTAGGACAAGTAGCATGTGAAGCTCACTCTTGGAAAACTGAGCATTCCTAGTCTACTCCTTTACCCTTTGTTCTGTAAATAAACCTCCTTGTGGATTGGTTTGTACTTACTTGGAAATGACTGTATTTGTGCCATCTCTGAACAAATTGCACAGCCAACAGATGCTGCGATTCATAATCCTGGATGAAGAAAACAAATATATTTAAGCATTCTGGTCAAGGGATATTGGTAAGATGCAGGCCCATAATGTATAAACAAATATATGCATGGTAATGCTTACGTATTGATGCAACTTTAGGTCATCTTCCAGACAAAACAAACCAGTTCTGGTCTTATCGGAGCTTACCTTGAGCTGATTATGTATGAGTTGAGCTAATATCCTGATTATTAGCTATCTTTCAATCCTTGCAAGCTTATACCCTTCTCCCTTGTCTCCTATCCCTGGGGCAGTTTCCCAGAATATCTGTGTGATGAAACCTTTTCTAAGTTCCTCATAACCCCTCTGTTCCATGAAGCCTTGGCCTTAAGTCTCAAATTTCCATATCTAACTGAACCTAAGATCTAGCATGTCCCTATAACATGCCTCAGTTTCCCTCTTTTTCTTCTGCTTTCCCTGTTGAATTTTAGATTGTAAGCTCCCTGATGCCAGTTCACTTTTTAGTAGATCTGCATCAGGGAGCACCATGCATATCACCATCATCATCATCATCATCATCAACATCCAGGTATCTTTTCTTATTATAGTGCACTCCTGTGCCCATGTTTCTGGTAGTTAAAATGTACCAAAGGTAATAGAACTTTTGGAAGTAAAGTGAGTAGGATTGTTCTCTGTCATTCTCTTCTTGGAGAAGCCATTCAAGAGGAAAGCAGCATCTTTGCTGCCCCTGTGTGGACTCCTCTGACAATGCTTTCCTATATCCTCTGACAATGTTTACTACATACAATCAGAGGATCTATGCAGACGAAGCTGAGGTGTGAAGAACTAATATAGTCAGTTATCCTGGGAACAGGGGGCTTTAGATGTGATTGGGTATACCTCTGTGGGTATACCTCTGTAATATACATTTGGGTATATATCTGTGGTTTCTAGATTATTGGGAATGTACTCCTTAAAGCAGTGTTTCTCAATCTTGGCAGCTTTCAGAGGTGTGGACTTTAACTCTCACAAGTCCACACATCTGGGGACTTCTGGGAGTTGAAGTCTACATATCTGAAAGCTGCCATGGTTGAGAAACACTGCCTTAAAATGAATATCTAAAATGTCTTAATTGCAGGACTGGTTTTATCGTTAGCTACAGTGGAATAGCTGCATCGGGTAGCACAGTCTGAGTGTTCTGAGTTACAACAAATTTTCAGTTATTTAATTTATTGTTGTACATTTACTGCCATGAAGAAGGAGAGGAAACTGGAATAGTTTACCTCCTACAAAATAAATTGCTTGGCGTTGAGGTCCTGTGCTTCTTGACTTGGCTGGTTATGGAAGTCATTTGTTACTTGACCTCAGACTGCAAAGTGTAATTGGTTCCTCAAGTTCAGTGGCTCTTTCAGATTTCAGGGAGGTGGTTAACTACCATACGGTGGCCTTTCCTTCTCAATCAGCAAAGTTATAAAGGAAGAAAATACATAAAATATTTCTCCTGAAAGCCTAGAGCCCTGGAACATACAATTCAGGACTTCTAGCCATTCTCTATAGCCATGCCTGTTTGTTTTTATCTGACACACTAGAGGTTAGCTTTCACTGAAGTTAAAATGAGAAGTATGTCTGTCTAATAAAGATATCTGCATGGAGGTTGGTTCCTCTTGGTTCCTCAAAAATGAGCCACAAATCTTCACAAAGTTGTGAAACAGCTAGGTATCTAGAGTTTGTTAAACAAAGGATTGCTTCATGCTTTTTGAAAAGCGTGCCCTGCACTTTATAAAATCTTCTGCTGTTTTTCAAATCATTTTAAGAAAGTTTACCTGCTTTTGCATCACTGTTCAGAATTCCATAAAGCAAGAATTCTCAAATTGTGAGTCTTCTCCCCCACCCCCTGGAGGCTGCAAGTGAGTAGAGGGGAGTCACAATTGTGTGTGAGTTTTAAATGTTGTTGAGGCTTGTGCACACAAAGCAGAAGTACTATCAGAACTTCTTCCTGTTTCCCTGGGCAAAACTTGCATGCAAAGTAGGGGGTAAAATGTTAGTACTTTTGGGTGTAAATGATGCTGTCAGTTAGGGAGACTTGCACCCAGATCCTTATTTAGAGATAAAGAATAATGGGTGAACTTGCTACTTCTCAGCCTAATTCATTTCAAAGGGATGTTGTATGGATGAAAAATGGAACTAGGGGTTAACTCATTATATATTTCATCCCTGGCTCTTTGGAAGAAGAGTTGGTTAAAATGTATTAGTGAATGGACAAGAAACCTGACAACTCTATTTAATAATTTTATAACAATAGTACTTCTTTTACTATATTTTATATTTTTATTATTTTATTTTAAATTTCTAATGTAAGCATAAACAATCAAGCCAGTATTGATTTAAAGTTCAATTATTATGTTCCAGATATCATTATCATTATCATCATCACATAGTTCAAAGCCAGTGACAATAAACGAGCAAGTGAATTTTGAATTAATCTTTGCCTTTGCATTCCACATGGACATCTTCATTAATATATAAAACATATTAAAAATATATGTTGAGATCTGAATGTAGCACCATTATCTTTGCCTGCATATTTGAACTATGGAAACAATTTAAAAAATAGTAATTTCTCTGATCTTTTGATGGCTAGTGGGTGATTTGATCTGCTGAATACGTTTTTCCATGAAGACAAGATTGTGAACCTTTCTGAGTCTTTCAACATTGTCAATGACTCTTCCAGTGACTGTGAAATATTATTTCAGTTGTAATAAGGTATATAACTAGGTATGCATGAACTTAACATATTTCCTTTTAAAAAAATAGGTACTTTTTCACAGGGAAAGTAAATGGATAAAGCTGTGATTAAATTTATGTTAGACTTACTCTTTGTCCAAAATTGTTTCAGCAGCAGGGCATTTCAGCTATACACACAAATAAGACTCATGCCTTTAGCATATTTCTATCCCCCGCCCCTCCAAAAAAAAATCAGGATTGGGCTATCTTATATGTTTTAGTCTCAGAGATATAATATCTTACTATTGTATGACCTTAATTTTTCTACTTTACCAAGTTTGCATTATACAATTTACAAAACACGGTGTATCTATTTTAGTTGCAGTGTATCTATCTTAGTTGTAACTGTATGTATCTTAGCCCACAGTTTTCTTCTAGCCTGGGAAAGACTTAGAACCCTTCAGAACATGGCTCATATCCACTGATTCAGAGTTAATAACTAAGAATTAAGAAATCAAATGATAGATATTCATTAATTACCATTGACGGTAGTTGAACAGAAATGGTTTCCCAAAAGTCAGATGAATGGTATTCCCATCCTTTCTGCCTTTCATCAACCCACTCAGTCTTGTAAGTTTTCCCTTCCCCCTGTAAAACAAGCCACATAAATTCACCTCTTTTTCAGAATTGGGTTAATGGGTTTCTGAATGTTTTTATTAGAAGCACAAATAGGTGGTGCCACATGAAACAGTAAAATATTTCAAACTGAGGAGAACCTATTAAACTGATACTGCCCTTACTCTTCTAGACTGCTCCACGGAATTTATATGGAGAATAACCAGAAACCTTGAACAATAGCTGTTTCAAAAATTTCTTGGCAATCAAGAATAGGCTAGTTGCATACTTACCACAATATCCTCCAAGGTTTTGAGGAGGAACTTATTTTGATGGTTGAGGAAATTATTTGCTTCTGTTTAAAATCAGAAGTATGCCAAAATCAGACCGTGGTTAGTAGACTTTTGCTTGCAGAGGATACAGGATTGGGGATCTGCTTCTTGAAAAGAACAGTATATCGTATTAATGTGTCCCTCTTGGTCTTACTGAAAGCAGTAAGCACTTCCCTTCTGCTTTTGGGAGATCATTGAGCATTGTCATCTTCAAGCGTTTACATTCAAACTTTGCTTGTGGTTAGTGGGAAGTTCTTTTTATGAAAAAAAAAAAAGAAAGAAAGTTTCATCAGCCTTCAGAGATCCATTGATAAGAGGATGTTTGTTCTGTCACTTGTAGGATATCTTTAGTGATTGACTGAAGCTGCATTAATTTTTTTGGAAGAGGTTATGAAAAATGACTGCAGTCAACAGATAAGGCTGTCATTTTGTGACTAAAAGTTTCCAGCTCCTTATCAAGAGACACTTCTCTTCTTCAACTACAAACCCTCATCTGAAAAGTGATGAGGAACTAGAGATAGGTGTAAACAACATTCTTTCCACAATGAAATAGCCATAACATGTGATCAATTACTGAAATATGCTTTTTGTGAAGTTCTTATATTTGCAGATTTTAAAAGCAATTCTTGGGCATACTCCAATTAGTAGTTTACACAATGTATAGCTATATGGAATTGTCTATCATCAGATATGGTGATGGCTCCCAGTGGTTGGAAATGAGGATTCAGTAAAGACCCTATCAATGGCTGCTAATCTCAATAACTGTATTCTACCTTCAGAATAAAAGCTGGTATGTCATAAATATATAGATATGCAGAGTCAACCCATCTGTTTAGAAGGGTTGAAAGTGGAGTCCTAGAAATAATTTAATCTGTAGGTAATCCAAGACAATTCAACACCTGGAGCATATTGGCAGAGCTATGTTCTCCCATAGTCTAACATGAGCAAATGGAAATAACCAACTTTTTTTATTTTCAACAGAATTGGATGAAATTGGCAGAGAAACAAACATTCTATCAGGAAATGAAGTTATACAAACTGTTCTCATCATGGTGGCCCAAGATTGGAACAAAGAGGTTTTAGAATCATGGTTTCAACTTGGGTAAATGAAAATCTGTTCTGAGTTAAGTCACTGCGTCACGGAATCCAGGTGTTGGCTGAATCTGATGTACAGTCTACTTAAATATCAGTTGCTAGGGAACCACAGTGGAAGAGGGCTATGACTCTCACATCCTGTTTGTGAGTTTCCAGGATGTAGTATGTCTCAGGGATAGAAAACCTAAGGACCTTTGGATATTTCCAGAATGCTTCACTACTTATGGTACTAGTTGGGGCTGTTAGGAGAACTTCAGAAATATATTTCCTTCCCCTAAAGGTTATTAGCCATGCCATACAGCTATAAGGGAGAAGGGAAGTTCAATGTAGCAATGTCTGTTTCACTAGTGGAATGAAAGGGTACCATCATGCACATTTTTACTTGCATGCAACTGCATTATATAGATTGGGTATGTAGACACCTGAAAGTTGCCTGCTCTGATATTTCAATCATAACTGAAGTCTCTGTCCTGGGAATCCCTATCAGATAAAGTGAAGTGCATTGGGACCCTGGGATTTTTTTGGGGGGGGGGAGGTGTTGAAGGGACAAATATAACTTAAACTTGAAGCACGCAAACAAGCAGGCAATACAATTTAAACATGGTTAATTAAATATTTGATGAGGTGGAGATTTTTCTTGCAAACTAATTAAGTTTTGCAGATGTTTAGTAAACCCAGCTTGTGTCACTGCTTCCTGGACTGCTGCTGATCCTTTGCCAATATTTCCTCCTGTTAAATCTTTCCTCCACTTACTACACACAGATGACCCCTTCTGTCCAGTGATAAATCAAAGGGTGAATGGGCTGATGTTGCATATTTCCAAAACCATTCATGTTTCATTACAAGAACACATGGTGGATGAATGGAAGCAATTTTATTGAATGAGGAAAGTTTTGGTTTTTGTTTCTTTTTGTTTTTGCTTACAAAGGGTATAATCATTTAAATCATATGTTGGCAGCTTGAAGATCCACATCCCTCCCCTAAGCCTTCTCCAACCTGGCTGTCAGAAATTAGTGCCATGGTTCTCCCATCATTTTGAGCCATGAATGAAGTATAAATGCAATATAGGTGCAAAACGTATTCTTAAAAAAAACCCTTCTCCCCATTAAAAACTCCAGGAGGGAAAAAAAAACATTAAAAATTCTTGTCATCCTCACTCCAGAACCTTTTTAATCATCTGAGAGATCCAAGGGCAGAATGATCATTTGAACATTTCACCCCACATACTAAGGAGTATTCCCCCCCCCCCCCCCCC